GAAGACCTTTGGGGAAATCCAGACTTTTAGTGGCAGGAGGAAGTCAGGATAGAAATTATATGGCAGCCAGGCGCTGGTTCCTCATTCCTGTAATCCTAGCTACTCAGGAGGCTGAGATCTGAGGATGGAGGTTCAGAGCCAGCCTGGGAAGGAGGTGAGTCTTATCTCCAATTAACCATCAGAAAACCAGAAGTGGCTCTGTAGTTCAAAGTGATAGGACCCTAGCCTTGAGCAAAAGAATGCAGGGACAGCCTCTAGGCCTCGAGTTCAAGCTCCATGGCCAACCAAAAAGAAATTGCATGGCTACTCCATGGTTGCATGGTGATCCTGTGTGCCAAGAAGAGAGTGCCCAGGACTAGGTACTTCCTGTGCAAAGAGTCTTATAGAGTAGCAGAACTCAATATTAAGTTACAAGTCCCCATCAGGCTCCCTGGAATTGGGGGCAGTATAAGAGGGAATTAGGAGCAACTCTAGGTTAGGAAAACACATACAGTACATGTTTGGGCTCCAAACTCTTTTTTTTTTTTGGGGGGGGGGGGTCCGGTCGTGGGGCCTGAACTCTGGGCCTGGGCGCTGTCCCTCAGCTCTTCAGCTCAAGGCTAGCATGCTACCACTTGAGCCATAGCACCACTTCCGGCTTTTTTTTTTTCTGCTTATGAGGTGCTGAGGAATCAACCCAGGGCCTCATGCATGCAAGGCAAGCGCTCTACCACTGAGCCACCTTCTCAGCCCTGGGCTCCAAACTCTTTATTCTTTTTAATAATAAACTATAATCTCCTTAGAAAACTGTTTAGTGATATGTAATAAAATTGGTACATACCAACCTTATTAGCCAATGTATACCAGAAGAGAGGCAAACATTTCTGGCAAAATTTTAAAAATTTTATTAGTGTATATTAATCGTACAAAGGGGTCATGGCAGCATTTGTTAATAGCTCTAAACTGGAAAGTATCCAAATTTACTCATAAAATGAATCAATTGCAGTAGTTGAGCACTGATAGCTCATGCCTTTAATTCTAGCCACTCAAGAGGCTGAGATCTGAAGATTGTGGTTCAAAGCCCACCACTGGCTGTCACATCTGAGATACTCTTATCTCCAATTACCTGGCAAAAAGCAGAAGTGTAGAGCACCAGCTTGAGTGGTAAAGCATCAGCTTTGAGCAGAAATAGATATAAGGTCATGAGTTCCAGCCCTAGTACTGACACAAAAAAATAGAGTAATAGGGCTGGGAATGTGGCTTAGTGGTAGAGTGCTTGCCTAGCATACATGAAACCCTTCAGTACCATATAAACAGAAAAAGCCAGAAGTGGTGCTGTAGCTCAAATGGTACAGTGCTAGCCTTGAGCAAAAGAAGCTCAGGGACAGTGCCCAGGCCTGAGCTCAAGCTCCAGGCCTGGCAAAATAATAATAAATTGTTCTATATTTGTATGATGGTAAATATCTGTGACAACATGCCTAATACATGCAACAACATGATTTTCAGGTAATATTGACCAAAACACTGGTCATTAAATAATACATTTCCACTAGTCTAGTCCATATTTTTTGGCTAACTTATGTATTCGTTTTTCTGAAGCATATATCTAGGAATTGCTGGGACAGTGCTGTGTTTCTCTCTTTCTTTTTTGGTCGGTTGTGGGGCTTGAACTCTGGGCCCGGGCACTGTCCCTCAGCTCTTCAGCTCAAGCCTAGTGCTCTACCACTTGAGCCATAGCACCATTTCCAGTTTTCTGGTGGTTGAGATAAGAGTCCCACAGTCTTTCCTGCCTGGGCTGGCTTTGAACCATGATTCTCAGATCTCAGCCTCCTGAATAGCTAGGATTACAGGCATGAGCCACCGGCACCCAGCTATGATGGCTTTCTAATGTGTCTACTTTGCTAGCTTGGACAGCATTTTCCAAATTCCCTTCTCTGTGTGTTTCCAATTAGGGCAGACCACAGTGGACATTTTTTGAGTGAGGTTTGAAGATGGAAGAAAAGAGCAGCAGCTATACAGGATCTGACATTTGTAAGCTCCAGGCAGGAACTTTGTAGCCCACGCACTTTGCTGCTGATCTGCTGATTTACCTCATGTGGGGGAGCAGCTAGGCCTACATGGACTCAGCTTTTCCCTCCATCTTCCTTTACTTTTCTGACTCCTGAGTCAGATGACAAAGAAGACAGCTTCTTCTCTGTTCACTCACATCATCAAGATTGAAGGCAGTAAAAGCTGACATGAATTTGTTTGTTCTTAAGACTTCTATGACTTTTTTTTCCTAATCCTGGTGCTTGAACTCACAGCCTGGGTGCTGTCCCTCAGCATTTTTGCTGGAGGCTAGCACTCTGACATGAGCCATAGCTCCACTTCCGGCTTTCTTCAGGTACTTGAGTGGAGATGAGTCTCATGGACTTTTTTACCTGGGCTGGCTTAGAACTGCGATCCTCAGATCTCAGCCTCCTAAGTAGCTAGGATTACAGGCATGAGCCACGGCACCCAGCAAGACTTCTATAACTTTTGCTCACGAATTCCATTTTGTTCTTTCTGTCCCCCACTTTATGTACACATTTCCTTTCCAACTTCTAACCTGTGAACTGTAAATTCCAGTATTAGATGCACAAACGAGAGCTTTGCCAGAGACTTGTTAAGCAGCCCCCACAATTACCTGAAGTCAAATCTTTTAAAGAAATCCTTTTCTGGATTGGTTCAGTGGTAGAGTGCTTGCCTCACATGCATGAGGCCCTGGGTTCGATTCCTCAGCTCCACATAAGCAGAAAAAGCCGGAAGTGGTGCTGTGGCTCAAGTGGCAAGGGGTTAGCCTTGAGCTGAAGAGCTAAGGGACAGCGCCCAGGCCCAGAGTTCAAGCCCCATGACTGAAAAAGAAATCCTTTTCTGGGGCTGAAGCATGGCTCAAATGATAGAGAAACCTGCTTAGCAAATGTGAGGCCCTAAGTCCAAACTCCATTGTCTAACTGATATAACATAGGCACTAGTTAATTATAGGAAATTGCCAAACTGTTACCTAAAATGTTTGCATTTATTTAAACTCCCACTAGCAGAATATGAGAGTTCCAGTTTCATCCCACCTTTATCAACAAGTGGAAATTAGTAATTAATTTTGTGGAAACATTACACTATGTAAAAACAGACAAAGCAAAGCAACAATCCACAGTCTTCAGCCTCTACTTGTACAGAATAAGTTCACAATATCAGGAATATAAACACATATTATTTTGTTGTTGTTGTTGTTCCCATACTAGCGCTTGAACTCAGGACCTGAGATTTTTCACTCAAGATTACTGCTCTGCCAGGAGCTGGTGGCTCATGCCTATAATTCTAACTACTCAGGAGACTGAGATCTGAGAATCCCTGTTCAAAGCTAGCCAGAAAGCCTATTTCATGTGGCCAAAAGGAAACAAAGGATGTTTTCAGTATACAGATATGGGAATATTTTATAGTAGTTTTCAAGAGAAACAGAACTGTTAGAGAGAAGAGAGAGAGAGGGGAGAGAGAGAGAGAGAGAGAGAGAGAGAAAGAGAGAGAGAAATTACCTTTATAAGGATTTGGCTCACACAATTATGTAGACTGGCAAGTCTGAAGACCTGCAAGGTGAGTTGGTAAGTTGGAGACCCAGGAGAGCCAACAGTTCAGTTAGATTCAGTTAACCAAGTCCAAAGGCCTGAAACCAGGAGATCTGATGGTATAATTCCAGTCCAAAGGTCGGCAGTCTTCAAACCCAGCATGAGCCAGTATTTCCATTTGAGTCTATAGGATGAAAGCTGATGGGCTAATTCAGAGGCCACTAGACACTAGGGATTCTCTTACAATTCAGGGAAGATCAAACTTTCAGTTCTATTTAGGCTTCAACTGATGGGCTGAGTCCCACCCAAATGAGTAAGGCAGGAAACTGAGGCAGGAAGATCTCAAGTCTGAGGCCAGCCTGGCTTGCACAGAAAGAAAAAAGAGGGGCCAAGCACTGGTGGCTCACACCTGCAATCGTAGCTACTCAGGAGTATGAAATCTGAGAATCACAGTTCAAAGCTAGCCAGAAAGTCTATGAGACTCTTCTCTCCAATTAACCACCAAAAAATCTAGAAGTGAAGCTATGGTTCAAGTGGTAGAGGACTAGCCTTGAACAAAAAAGTTCAGGCACAGTGCCCAGGCCCTAAACAAAAAAAGGACTCAGCCAAACTCAGACTCTTGACCCACAGAAAAATGTGAGATAATACGCATGTATTGTGTTATACCTCCAAGTTAGTAGTAATTCGTTATACAGTATTAGATAACTAATACAGATTCTTTTCAGTTCTCTTTCTAGTACAAGAGTATTGCTATGAAAATTATTGTAGTGTCTCTCAGAACAAAGAACACAAGCGTTTGTTTCCCCTGGGTATACTCTGAGTATATGCCTACAAATGGAATTTCCAGGTCTCAGAATTTATTAATATAAATTATCAGGTCAAGGCTGGGGGTGGGTGGCTCACTCGGTAGAGTAAACTGCCTAGAAGGTATGAGGCCCTGTTCAAATCTCAGTATCACAAAAATAAATCAATAAAAGCCAGAATTAAGGTCAAACCATGGCATAGTGGCTTGGACAGTTTGGTCCACAAAACTTGAGATCAGTGCATGGGCAGGTTTGGAGTCATATAGAAGTCCAAGTTAAGGGTCTATCCATGTTGAAGGCAAAGATGTGTTAACAGTTGGGGAAATCTGAAGCCTGTGTTTGGTGTTGGTTTTCAAAAAGGTTCGAGGATACTATGTTGGGGGTAAGGGATAATCTAAGCCTGGGTTAGAAGTTAGAGTGCCTGTTACCCTAGCTACACAGGAGGCTGAGATCTGAAGATCATGGTTTGAAGCCCACCCAACTCTTATCTACAATTAACCACCAAAAAGCTGAAGTAGAGCTGTAGCTCAAGTGGTAGAGCCCCAGCCTAAGGGAGAGTGCCCAAGCCTTGGGTTCAAGCCCCAGTACAGGCATGCGCGCACACATGCACGTGCACGAGCGCGCGTGCACACACACACACACACGCACGCACACAGAAATCTACTAAGCTGTGGGCATACAGGACTGACTACCCACAAAGTAAGACCACTTCTGGATCCACAAGGCTCTTTCACTTAAGGGGGTGAACAGGTGAAGACAGGTGTGGGTGGGAGGAGGACAAGGAGAGCAGGAACTCGCGTCTTTAGGGATCCAGAAAGCGAAGGCAGGAACAGGAAAAGTATGCCACCTTTAATGGGGGCAGTTCCATCCATATCCCCCAGACACTCCCAACAATATGTGTGATCGAGAAGGGAAAGAGGAGGAGAAAGGGAGGTGGGGGAAGAGGAAGAAGAAGAATAGGGAAATCGCTACAGGCACTGAGGGATGTCTTCACTATTCCTGGCTGGTTCGACTCCTCACCCCTGCCTCTCCAGCTGCTGTGGTCTCCAGCCCAGGGAGGGGTCCCAAGTGAGCACCCAAGAGGGGCAAGGGAGCCCCTCGGTTTCCGGAGGTAGTTTCCCACATGATTGCGAGTGTAGAGAGCCATCCTGATATGAAACGCAGCTGCTGTCCTCGGAGCTGGGTAGTGACTCGGCCCTAGGGGTGTGGGCAGAGCCAGGGGACCGCCTCCCAAGGCCTAGCGCAGGGAGACTCAAGGCGGGGCCCCAGGTGTTGGGCACCGCTTTGCTGCGGGGCAAGCCGGGTCTCCGCCCATGGCTCCTGGGCTCTGGAAAGTGGTCCATTTTCCTGGTCCGGATGGAGCGTAATGAGGTGGCTCAGTCCAGCCCCACTCCCCAACTCACCCCCATCCCCAGGCAGGGAGGAGCTCCGGGCGCTGGAGGCTCGCGCGAGCAGCTGGCTCCACCCTCCTACTCGTGCGTCGTCGGAGGGAGGGTCGTAGCATCCGGGCGAGGAAAAGGGGGGCCCCCGAGCTGCCCGGGCCCAGGTCGCCGCTCACCGCTGCTTGCGCTCGGCCTGCTGGAGCCGCCGGGAGAGGTCCTCGATGCGCACGTTCTTGAGCTGGAGCAGGTGCTCCAGACGCTTCACCTTCATCTGCAGGACCTGGGTGGCAGCGCCAGGAAATGGAGCCCAGCTGCTGGCTGCCCCTGTCTCTACAAACCCACTCCCCAAATCCTCACTCCCCAACTTTCCTGGGGCGCCCTCACCTGCACCGTCTCCTGCGAGGCCAACAGCTCCTGCTCCTTTTCAGCGATCTGGAGGACGAAGCTTGGGTCGCCCTGCAGCGACTGGCTATACCCAGGAGGACGAGGCGCCGGCGGTCGGCTCCCCCTGGAGTGGAAAACAGCTTAGCACTCCCCGGAAGCTTGGGTGCCACCCTCACCTTTCCACTGCCAGCAGCCAGGCCCTCCTTCGTTACTTTCTCTTGTCTCTCCAGTGCCCTACCTTCCCAGGCACAGCCAGCCCCTCCCCCTCCCCTTCCAGCCTTGTGGGGGGAGGGGAGGTGGGGAATGGGCGGGATTATTAAAACTGGTGAGGTTCGAACTCCCAGCTGCTTTACCTGAGCTGCCCTCCTCCCTGGGGTTCCGGGGCACCCTCCCCTCGGGCCTTCTGGGGCAAACCTGAGACAAAACAAGTGGAGGTGTGACCTTGCTGAAAGTCCTAGTCTCTTGTCTCCCCCTGACCCTCAAAGTGATGAGAAAGACAGGAGGAAACTTTTCCTGGGGCGCAGAAGGCGGAAAGGACACCTTACCCATATCCATATAGCCACTGCTATCCTGAGGTGCCAGCTCCTGAAAGAAACGCCCCCATGGTCTACTGTGAGCCCAGGCCTACCCATCCCCAGGGAATCCCTTTGAGCAGGATTTCTCAGGCACACCCTACTTCTATCCCACACACACATCCCCAAGACAAGGCATTCTGCTGCCTGGGAAGCCCCTGGTGCCCCAGTAGCAGGAAACAATGTCCCCAACTCAGAGTGGCACCTGTAAGGAGCCCATGCCCTGCTTCCTGCGCCTCTGCCGCTCCTCCAGGCGCTGCCTCAGTGGAATCAGCACCAGCTCCACCACACCAGGGGCACACTGGGCAATCTTGCGCATCACATCATCTGGCACCGAGAAGTTCAGCTTGTTCAGCACCTTCCTATGGGGTAGGTCAGGGAAGACATACTGGATCCTATTGGGAATAAAGCCAGGACTTCATGGGAAGGAGGAAGGAATACAGTGCTGCAGTCTATGGAAACTGCAGCCCTGGGAAACTGAAAGGGAAAAGTATCTAAGCCCTATTCCTTAGGTGTTCTTAGGTTCCCTTCTGTCTCTTTCTATATAAGAGTTCTTTGATTTTGTTACTAGATAGATTCTGTTTGGGCTGGTCCTCCCCACTCTGCCACCAGGAGGGTCCCTGTTTAGGTGTTAAGTCCATAGAAAGTAAAAGGGCTGAGGTAGTTCCTGGAACTCCAGTGGGTGTTGGAGAGTCCCATTTCTGCACCCAGGTATTATGCTACCTGTTCAGGTGACCCCAGTTGTTGAGCTTCTGCTGGAAAGAGTTGGCAGGGACATAATTGTGCATCTCCACCATCTTGGGGAAGTAAAACTTGATGACTTCTGCAACCAGGACTGAAGAGTATACATAGACACAGAAGGTGGGGAGAAAATAATGGGAGAAGAGGAGGGTAAGGATGAAGAAGCAATAGGGTAGTAGAACCCAGTAGAGATACAAAAAGGGGAAGGACTACAGGGAAGGAAACAAAGGCAGATCAGGAATCAAACTAGGACATAGTACACCTCAGAGAAGTCGCATCCCTTCCCCCATTAACTCAGGGCATAGCAATACTGAAAATGAGTCTCTAAGAGAGCTCTTCAGAAGCCTGTGGGTCTCTCCACCTTAGGAATTCACACACACACACACACACACACACACACACGCACACACACTCCCCAAAGTCCCAGGAGAATCACACAGATTGTCTATTTGTCTCACAATTAGACACACACAGTGAGATCCTTGTACAGATATACATACAAGGCAGAATGTGTAGATACATAGGAAAAATACATGCCAGACATGCATGTACAAAAAATATATATTTCTGTCATTGAAAGCCCAGGAAACATTTCTGAAACACAGATACTTACATAATCACAAGGAAACACATAGGCACACAAGACTCCCTCAAACATATTCAAGACAGAATATGTCAGCACATATATGAACACACATATGCTCAGACTCCTACAAGACACATCTATAGAGCATACAATGATAAGCAGATGTATACAGAGATGCAGTAATACATACACCTAAATTCAAAGACCCTGGAGGGATGGACACACAAACACACACACATACACACACCTCATATGCACATGAGTAGGAAAAGAGTAGGCTAAACATGAAAACGCATTGTTCACACAGAAATACAAACAGAAATAACACAAAAGCACACACTTTCACAACTGAAATCCTAAGACACATAAGTACAAAAAGACAGTATGCACACAGACCCCTCACACATACGTTCAACACAGAACACATAGGAACACTCAGAGGCACACACCTCCATCACTGAAGTCCCGGGAGAGGTTTCTCTTGGGCCGGGACAGAGGGATGTTGTCTACCCACAGGTAGAGCTGGTGCAGGGCCTCTTCGTCCACGCTGCTTGCCATTTGTGTCCTCAGTAAGGCCAATCCGTACCAGCTAGATAGAGTTCAGCACCAGCCTCACAACTCCTCAAGCAACTCTCTTGCCACTGCTCCACAGCCGGCTTTCTGTTCTGACTCTGCCTGCCTCACACAGAGACTCGCCTCCCATCTGGGAGCAGCCATATTGTTTTCTGAAACCATGGCAACCATCACCTAGTCGACTGGGAGCAGAGATTTCTGGGAATTGTAGTTTTTCCCTCACCACCTCCTTTGGAGCCCCAGCTTTGAAGACAGGTGTGTTTTATTTCCCCTCTTTCCTAAGAAAGGGTCATTTCTGCACCCAAAGTATTCGCTAGCCAGCTACTGACCCAGTCTTGGATCTTCCAAAGTCAACCAGGCCCTCAGAACCCTTACACCAACCAGCATCCCTTGAACTGGAATCCCCCTTCTGTGACCTTTAGGTGTCAGTCCTAAATGGAAGCAGCATACCTGTTTCCAGTTTTGCCTGCGGGGTGGGGTGGGAGGTCCATTGTTAATAATCTGCTACCAAACTATGTGATAAGCTGTGTGCTTCCTTACTGGATCCCTCGGCATACAGCCATTGCTACTCCTCTATCCCAGCAGTTGGTTTTACTGTGGTATGCAGTATGTAACTCAGACTTCAAGGGAGCACCAGCGTTCAAGGCAATATCTTAAACTCTGGCATGTCATGTAATGCCTTTACTCTACTTCCTCCCTTGTGAAATGGGAACAATTCTTGTTTACTTGTCCCTATGGAGTAGTGGGGGAAAGTTATAATAAATTCATACTGATATAAGACCTGTGTTTGAATGAGTTGGACATGGGAGCCAGTTATAGGTATAGAAGCAGCAAAAGCTCCTGTAGATACTCCCACATTCCTTGTCTTTGACATCCTCATCTTCCTAGCATTATCATGGATTAGGATTTCAGGTAACCCTGTTTTAAGTCCCTGCCTTGTGAAGGGATACAGAATAGCTATAAAGGGGTACTTACAGATCCAGCCTGAGGAGAAATTTTGCTTCCAACTAATGGTATAGCATTGGACAAATTGCTGAATATCCTTCTTTTTGTCAATTTTCCCTACCCTTCTCTACCTTATAGGGGCTCTGTGGAGCACCTGGTATTTATGGCTCAGTACACGTCAAGGACCCTATTAGTATCATCAGCTTATGTTATCATTAGTGAGATCATCTCAGTTCCAGCAAGAGTAGTTGTTGGTAAGAGACAGATGAAAGTGATTTGTCTTGTTGGTACTTTGAGATAAGGGACTTGGATTAGTCAAAACTTAGGGAGAAGGCTACGCTTCCTCCTGCCTTCTCTAGAGCAGGCCCAGGTCGTCAGCTGGGCTTCTTTTTTTTTATTTTCTGTTCTCCTAGAGTTTGGATTGGGAAAGAGGGAAAGCTAAGGGGAATCCCAACTCCTTTTTATTGTCATTTTGCTTCAAAACTTTGAAGGTTTTGAAGTGCTAGAAGTTCAGAAGGCCAGGAGTGGAATTTACCACACTTCTTGTTTAAAAGTCGCGCAAGTGGCCTTACTTTTCTGGAAGGGACACACCCATGGCAGGCCAGGGACAAAAGAGGACCTGGATATCCCCCACCCCCTAACATTCCATGGTGGGGAGAGGAGGAACTTGGTGACTAGGGGGTGATGAGGGGTTGGGAAGGAGGCGATATGCCAGCTCTTGGCAGGGTAGGAAAACCGGTTTGGGGATCAGGGTTCCTTGCCCTGTGCAGGCTCAGTCCCTCCCCTAGCTGGAACCACTGGGGCCAGAGGGCCTCAGAGAGGGAGGGTTCCACAGGGAAGGGACTGGCCCTGAAAGGAGAAAGGTAAGACTGACAAAGGACCTGTCTTTACCTATGGACTGGGTAATGGGGAGCAAGTGGGGAGTGAGGCTTTGGAGGGCCTCTTGGGGGTGCAATCTGTTCACAGTAATTTCATCTTCCTTTTGCCAAGGGCCCTTGTGGCAACTAGGCTTGAGAATGACAAACAAGGCCTAAAGGGTTGCCTCAAGGTAAACCAGAGTTCCCTGTAGGCTCCTCCAACTCCAAGTTGGCTCTCAGGAGCCAACACTTCAAACAGGCCCTACATCTTCCCGCTCCTTCCAGGACCCTTTTTAACCAATCTTGACAGGCCTGGTCCTTGGGTGTATTTTGCCTGATTTGGCCCAGAAGAGATTGTTGGCTTCTTTCCTCCTGCCCCAGAAAAGTGACCCAAGCTTCTCTCTACCCCCAAAATACTAGAACGCTAGGGTTCCTCCGAGCTGAGTACACTAAAGATCTTCCCTCCCCAAGCCTTTATAGCATTTAGACATCCGTGTCATTGGCTGAGCCCCTCACCCCTGTGAAGGCCACCCTGTCAACCCTTGCTTCCATGTCACATCAAGGCAAGGACCAAAGGGAGTCGGGAAAGAATGTGTCCCCAAGACAGACGCAAGCCCAGACCATGAAGGATGCACCCTTGGCTGTTAAAACGTTCACCCCCACAAAAGGGGAGTGGACAGATTTATTGAATTCAATCTGGGAAAGGGAGCAGCTGGGTGGCTGGACTCTGGGCTCAGCCCCAGGCCCCTCTGCCCAGGATGGGACCCTGCCAGAGAGGGATGAGAGGCATGAGGCCTGCAGCTGACCACAAGGGAGGTGCCCACCATCACTCTCCTGGAGGGCCTTTTGGAAACCTCCAATCTGGAAAGAAAACCAAGGGCGGCCAAAGTCACACAGACTAGGCCAGAGAAAGGGATTAAGGGGGTGGAAAGCAGGCAGAGGCAGGCTCAGGAGCCTATGGTAAGTTAGACTGTGCTTCTTGAAGCGACCCAGGGTGGGTGTAAGGGGCTGCCAGCCTTGTGGGGGCCTAGGCTGGACCTTCCTCTGGAGCCCTTCCCAGAATGGCTTTGGGGTTCCCCCCACCAAAGACCTGGTTGGATGGTAGGGGGGAGAGGCACTCTCTGGCCAGGAGCTTCCAGGGCCTGTCCCTGGCTGCTGCTGTGGTCTAGTCCACTGATGGCATGGTGTGGTAGCACCAGACAGCTCCCCACCCACCCCACCGGGGCCCCCAAGCCCAGGGGCAAATGGGGAGGAAAGAGGATTCTGAGAAAGAGGCAATAAGCAGGCATTGAGGTGGACCTAGCCCTGGGACTGTCTCAGGGCCAGAAGAAGCCATTACTCAAGGCCCTGGGGCTCCCCCCTCTAGCTCCATCTATAGCGGCTGCCTAGAGAGGGTTCTCTGCCCTAGGCTGGTGCTGCCCATCTGGGTCAGGGACACAGCTATGCCCAGCAGCTCAGCTTTGATGCCCAAGACCCCGAACTCCTGCCTGCCTGGCATGGTTCTTCCTGGTCACATGGACCAGATCATGTTCCAAGTGGAGGATGTGGCTCTGTACCCGGTCGTCGATAGGAAAGGAGGTCAGGTACCTCTTGACCATGGCGAAGTAAGCCATGGCCTCCCCGAAGCTGGGTACAGGCACCTCATCGCCGTCCTCATCATCATCATCGTCTTCATCTTCCTCATCCTCCTCCTCATCTTCCTCTTCATCTTCACTGTCTGAGTCAGAGTCCTCCCCACCTTCCAGGAAACGAAGGGTAGGGCACTGGGCCTCCTCCTGGGCGCTGTAACCCCCGAAGCCACCACCGGCCTCTACTACTCCCTGGGCCCAGTCCTCAGCCTCTAAGCCCTCTGAAGAGCTCTCCTCTTCGTCCTCTTCCTCCTCTTCATCACTGTCATCAACGTCACCCTCCTCCTCCTCCACCTCCTCCTCTTCTCCCAACTCCTCTCCTTCCCCTGCTTCCTCTTCTTCCTCCTCCTCGCCTTCTTCCTCCTCTTCCTCTTCCTCCTCCTCCTCCTCTTCCCCTTCACCCTCCTCTTCTTCCTCCTCCTCTTCCTCTTCCTCCTCCTCCTCTTCCTCTCCCTCACTCTTGAGAGAAGCCGTAATGGTGGCATTAGGGCCACCCCCAAAACCCGCCTCACGAAAACAGGTGGCTATGTCCGAAGGTTCCACTGCTTGCCAGGCCGCAGCCACGAAGTGCAGGGCCTCCATGAGGCCCAGCTGCAAGCCGGAGCGATCCTGGCCCTCCAGCGCTGCCATAGCCTTGAGCAGCATAGCCTGGCGGTAGTGGCCCTTCACCTGTTGGACCACTCCCCGCTCCAATGGATGCACAGTGCCCGGAGGAAAGAAGGCCAGCTGCACGTGCCGCAGGCCTGAAGTGTCCAGGGACTGGGCAGCCAAGCGGCCAGCCAGCAGCAGGACCCGGCGAGACTCTGCGGCCATTCGAGCATCCAGGGCCTTCAAATACTTGGCCAAGGCCTGGGTAGTGACACCACCCTTCGAGTTGGCGGTGTAGTCGCAGGGCAGGCCACCTTGGCTGGCACGAGGCTTGGCCGACTTGCCAGCCACCAGCGGGGGCAGCTTCTCGCTGCCATCGGCATTGGCGCACAGCAAGACACTCAGGCGCTGGGTGGCTTGGCGCGCCCTTCCATCCCCTCCGCACAGCCCCGCGGCCTGGTCCGACAGAAAGTCGTACCACAGACTGGTCTCGGTGGCACTGAACACGTCCTGCGAGGCGTAGCCCTCGGCCACCGACGGCGGCTGCTCCTCCCGCGTGCGCCAGCCCGGTGTGCTCCCACCGCTGCCCTCAGAGGGCACCGCGGCCGGGCTGGCAGGTGCCGCTGGGGTCCGGGGGGCGGCATTCCGCCCCCTGGCTCGGGCCACGCCGCTGCAGGACACTACCCCGTGGCGCCGGCGGAAGCGGTCCAGCCAGCCATTGGAGGCAGTGAAGTCGTCCATGCCCAGCTCCTCGGCTATCCGCAGAGCCTTCTCCTTGAGGATGATGCCCTTGACGGGCAGGCCGGCGGCGCGGATCTGCTGGAACCAGGCGATGAGCAGCCCCTCGAGCTTGTCGTAAGGGGACAGCTTGTTGGTCTTGCGGCAGGTGGAGGCCACCCCGTACTTGCGCTCCGACGCCAGGATGGCGCGCTTGTTCTTCAGGATGGTGCTCAGCGTGGACGGCGGGATGTTGAAGCGCCGCGCGATCTCGCCCTTGCGCAGGTCCGGGTTCTCCTCCACCTCCTGGATGATCCTCGACTTCTCCCGGAACGTCAGCTGCCGCCGCTTGGGGCCCATCCCGGCGCGCCCCCCGCCCCGGGGCCCGGCACCACCGCCGCCACCCCGGGGCGGGGGGCCCGGGCCCGCGGCGGGGGGCACCAGGCGGCCTCTCCCGAGCGCCCCGCCCGAGACAAAGCGGCTCGCGGGGCGGCGGGCGGAGCGGCGACCCGGCCGGGCCGGAGGAGGCACCTCCGGAGGCGACGCCGGGCGGCGAGGGGCAAGCGGGGGGCGCAGGGAGAGGGCGGGCGGCGCGGGCGCGGAAGGCAGGAAGTGCCGCGGCGCGGGGAGCGGGGAGCGCGGCGAGCGGGGCGGAGCGGGCGGAGCGGGCGGAGCGGGATCTCGCGGGAAGCGTGGGGACGCCCGGCGCCGCCTCCCGGTCCTCCGTGCCCAGCCCCTTCCCGCTGCCCCGGTCCTGCCACCGGGG